TTTAATAAGTAATGAAGTTTCTCTATATGACATAGCCAACATTATATCATAAAACTCAGAATTTTGCTTGTAATTCAGTAGTAAATGTCTGACATGTACATAGATTTAAATGGGTCAAGTTGCAAAATGTAATTATATTATTGCCCTGCTTTCATCTACTAAAAGCAATTATAAGGCATAAAGATACTAAGATATTGTAAACGTTAACATCATGATTTTCTATAAAGCTGCTTTTATTATGAAAAGTGCTATACAAATAAATTTGACTTGATTTGATATTGATATCAAAATATTTTTTGAGGCTTAAAGTAAAAATGTATGCATAACCGGATATTTTAATGTAAATATATATTGTAATAAAAATATTATTATTAAATCAACCTTTTTCAAAATATTATCAGTGTTTCAGCTCCCATCTTTATTTGTCATTTACAAAGAATCTCTATACATCCTAAATCGTACAGTTTTAACACCTAGAAAGTCTTTTGTGTTAACAGTAGTGATATTGTATTCTAGATTTGTTACTCAAGGCATGATTATGCATTAATGTCTGCATTTTCAACAGGTTTTTATTGCAGAGAATGAAAAGAGGTGGCAAAGTCAAACAAGCTGGTGTAGATGAAATGCTTTTAAATGTTCCTCTAAGCTCCTTTGCTGGGTGTTTGTGTGTAAGTGACAGCCTCTCACAGCCCTGTCAGACTGTTTCTGCACATAAGCAGTTCTCCTAACATTATGCTTACTGCTTCTTGACTTGTTTTGTTCCTGTGTAATCCCTCTGCACTTGGTCGACTCCATTCGCTTTGCTTGGGCTGCTGAAACTGCAGCTCGCTTTTAAACCTTGCTCAACTTTTCAGACTGACTTTCAAAGCATCTTGCCATGAGAAAGCAAACCACCAAACTCTTTCACACCGTCACGACGGCATTATTTTCATTGTGCCCGCAAAAACGCACTTTCATCAGTGTTTTCTTTTTTGCATTGTGGCATACATTTAGCAACAATTTTAATATGTCTGGCAGGATGCATCAATGTATAGTCCTGGTATCACAGAAATGTAATTGTTCAATTCAAAAGATGCTTTGTGTCCACCAAATACTGTGATTTAAATATATTATTTACTGTTCATTATTCTTATTTTCCTCTGTGTAACTTTACGTTCTCTTCTTTTTGATTTTAGTTTAAATTAGGTATGTTATCTGGAGGGACAACCTTGTCCAGGACCCTGAGGAGAGGGGTCCACTAAAGCCCCACTTTAAAAAATGCTGGGTTGTTTCCATCCATGTTTGGGTCAAATATACCAACCATTGGTTTAAATGTTTGAATTACATTTTTAAACCCAATGTTTGGGTTTGTCCAGATTTGACCCCAACATTTTTTTATTTTATTTTTTTTCATCTCCTGATGGGTCAAGATCCAAAAATGGGTTATAGATCTTTTTTTGATTGGGTAGCAGGGAAATATGACTAATATACATTTAATAATTTAATTTTATTTGTTTATTACAATATTTTATAAAAAAATATGTATATAAAATGTGCTTTGTGTGTGTGTGTGTATGTATATATATATATATATATATATATATATATTTTTTTTTTTTTTTTTCTTTTGGCTTTTGGACATTACATAATTTTGAAAATCAAAGTTAAAAGAAATTTAAAAGAAACTAACTTAAAAATAAATTTGCGTGTAACCATGATAGGTCAATGTTAAACATTTAAAATGCTATTAGTCAAGCTCAGGTTTTTATTAAACGTTTATTAAACAAAATAAATTAAATGGAAGATCCACCATAAGGACAAAACAGTTTAAAATACTTAAAACTTTCTAATGTCTAGATTCTAAATTATGCACGTTGTGTACATTTCCTTACACAACTAGTGTCAACTCGTGTCCTTTTAATATAGCCTATTTATAGTACTAAAAGAATGCTATATACAGTATATATATATATATATATATATATATTATGAATTGAACATACTCTCTCTCTCACAAACACATTATTTTACATTTTCAGATACAAACGCCTCATTTTAAAAATAATAACTTGTTCATAAATGTTCATTGTCACTAAAGTATTTGTATTTATTTTTTATTTTTTGCTGTTTTTATGAAATTATTGTAAAAAACTGCTTAACAGGGTGGAGAAAGTATGACAGTGGACTAAGTAGATGATGGATGGATGATATGGATATACAGAAACAATATTAACCAACACTATCTCACGACCAATTCGTACGAATTCGACGCATGATTAAAAAGTGTCTAATTCGTACTAATTCGTACGACCTCACTCGTACTAATTCGTACGATTTGTCTAAACCCACGTGATGGTTAAGTTTAGGGGCGGGGTAAGGGGTAGGTCATTCGTACGAATTCATACGAATTGGCCAATTCGTAAAATATGTACGATTTAGCAAAATCGTATTAATTCGTACGAGTGAGGTCGTATGAATTGTTACGAATTAGCCACTTTTTAATCATTCGTCGAATTCGTACGACTTGGTCGTGAGATCGGGTTGATATTAACCAAAGCACTTTAAATACACTACTTCTTCAACTTTAAACAATCTCTGTTTACACTCTCAGTGTCCACTGATCTAAAATCAGCCTCTGCACCATGTCTGAGCAAAAAGAAGCTGGAAAATGTCTCAAATTATTTCATTGATTCAAATTCAATTACTGTTTAAATGCTCTTTTGCTTTGAAATGTATATTCAACATTTTTAAGGCAGTAAGATCACGATATGAGGATCCCATATGAGGATAATAAAATAATCACTTGAAAACTTCTTCTATACTATATAGTCTAGTGGTTGGTGAGGAAAAACAATGCATAATACTGAACTAACCATACAATCACACATAATTCAATTTGGTAGATGCTGTATATACAAATTTCCATTGACGGCTATTCGTTGCACACTTTCTGGGGGTCCTGGCCAGCCAAACATCTGTCATTGAGATGAATGGGAAAGCTAACGGATAGCTTTCTCCAGGTATTATAAACTTCCTTAGGCCCTCCCATAAAAATTTCATCCGAGGCCCTGTGAATTCAAGCGACAGCCCCGGCTGAAATTAATGGAGACGTTTGATTGATTAGACCTGCATTTCAGAGAGATTCCTTTGCAAATCAATGCCTGCCTGCATGTAAGCGTTAATGAAATTGCACACCGGCAGAAGTGAGCTGACTTTTTCCATGACTGAGTTAAGAGTCTGCACTTTCTCCAAAAGCCCTGTGGAGATCTTTCCCCTTTTAACCTCTCCATCAAAATGTCATTTGATTCAAAAACGTTACAGCCAGTGAAGTGTCTCCAAGTTGATTCATTTATTTATTAGTAAATGAAAGTAATGAAACGCTTAAACACATTTCAATAGCACTGTTTTGTGCTGCTCTGGCTTTATTGCCCACCGAGAATTACTTATTTGATTAATGCATTAGGTGCGTTTACAATATTTAGCAAAGCATGGACCCCCCACCCCCTCGGCTAAATGAAAAGGGGAAAATATCTGCTTTCCTCTCTCAGGCTCGATATTACGTTTTGAAGCACAATGTTGAAAGGGCTGCAATTCATTATTAATGCTCACAATATAAATAGTTTAGATCTTATTAATATTTAATTTATGATAGAAAAAAAAAAGATTTGAGTGACTGCTACAGTATTGGAAAAATTGTAAATATATTATAAAGGCTGTTCGTCTGAAATATCGCCAGTGGGAAAAGCAAAATGTAAACATGCGTATGCCATATGTGTTTGTCTTTTGATATAATTCCTGCTTCACCCGTTGAGTGTGTAATATGTAACAAAGGAGTCTGACGGCTATGTTAAATATGCCCTTGCATCATGGTGTGGTTCATGTGACTGGCGCGAGTATGATTGTCCAGCCTGGTCTCATTGTTAATACGTAGCTATTTTACGTTTTAGCGTCTCTCTGGGCCGTGTGTCGAAAGGAGATAACTTGTGTGTTTTATGGATCTTTTGAGCACTGTAATCGCCATCACAACGGAGATCTTTAATCTCACTGGTGTGTTCGTTCGCCATCGCTTTGGGACAGTCCTTGAGTAGGGGTCGGGTGATAATCTGTAAACGCCGGGACGTGGGACCCTGAGAAAGCGGAAAAGGAATAGGAGCTTTTAGAGATCATTAAACATTAATAATTGTGATTTGTGTGTCGAGCCCTTGTGCTGAATTTCAGTCTACATCATTATAGAGTTTCATCTCTGGGACTCTCTGAAGTGGCTCCATGTCAAACAGGAGATCAGATTGTAAGCGCCTTTAGAGGAACTGATTAACTTCTGGTTTGCACAATATCGCTCAGGCTGAGGGCCGAAGTGTTTTATCTGGATCCGCTTGAAGCCTATAAATAAATTGGCCAAATTGTTTTTTGGAGTGTAGACGGGGTAAATATTTAACAGGTGTTTCTTCTGCCAATATTTTACATGTGGAGAAGTCTGCATGACCCTTTTTTTTCTTTATCCAGAGTGGTCATCAAACTGGAAAATGATTGACACTAGGTGTCCGTAGTTTCTTTTGCCAGTAGATGTCAGTCTTCCCTAAGTACTGTAAATTGTGTTTTAGGAGTCTGAGACATGTCAAGCGCTTTAGGGTTTGATATAATGTTTAGGAGAAACCCTAAACCCTAAAAAGTTAGGCTAAATATATATTCACTAGATATATTTTTTGCTTGATCCTGTGGTAATAAGACTCAATGATTAAAGTAGTGACTTCCTTAATGAATATAAAATGTGTGTTTATAGGTGTGTTTGTGGCAGATTTGAAGGTGGCTCATCCAATCAAAATGCAATCTGAACTAATCATTTTATAATCCATGTCATATATTTGATAATCACTTCTATGTCACTTAGAGCCAGAAACCAAATTCATCACCATCTTGTTAAACAATGCCAAACATGACCACTAGAGGGAGCACTTTTCACACACACAGATAGACTTTCATTTATGTTCAATTACTGATAAATGTCTCCTTGTTTTTTGAAGGAATTACTCTCTGCTTGGAGTTGAAGGCTGGATTTGGCAGTGCGCTCACAGACGTAAGAGATGGTTACAATTACAGTGATATGCATCAAAAAAATAACTATTTGTACAAGCTAATTTGTTATGCAGTTTTGTGTGTTAGACATGGGATGAGAATCTGAAACTATACAGATCATTCCTGTTATGCATTACATTTTGTAATTTGTGTTATTTATGGTGTTATTTCTATAAAATTCCATTACAAACTTATGCCCAAATAGAAATATTCTGTTAACTGTAAGACTGAAGACGTTAATATTTACATATAGAACAATAACAGTAATATAATTTAAATAATATAGATAGTATGATGACAATTTCTGCATGTTTGGCTTGAAAACATTTCTATTAGAAAATGAAAGCTGAAATACACCTGAAATATTTCTTAATGAATTGCCAGGTTTTTTTTTCTCCCAAGCACCCAAGGACATGACAGAAATAACAACATCTGCTCAAACCAATGTAGTGTTCACTTAATTGTGAGGTTTTAATGAAACTAACCAATATGATTGGTCTCTATCTTTTAAAAGTTCTATTTAATTGTCCTACATTGCAAAAGTATCGAATGGAATTGGATTCTAACTTTGAATATTTCCCTCTCCCATCTTTTTTACAGAATCTTGGTTTGGAAGAGCAGAAGAAAACCTTTAATTTCAAATATTTAATAAACCTCCTTTACAGAGAAACAGTAAGGACTTGCTCAGGTAATGCATCGAAGTCATAAAACTAGTTAAATCTGTGAATCAATTAGATTTTTCTGAATGTTTTGCTTCTTTTTAAAAGGTGAGGTACACTGGACAGACGGAACTCTCTCAAGTCGTCTGGAAGTGTGACGGCACTTGGTCACATGACCTGGAAGAGAAAACCCAAGAGACTTCTGGGATCCCTTTCTGGTCAGTGATACCGTTTCATGCATTTATAAATCTCATAACATGGCAAATCATTGGTTAAATCCCACAAAAGTGGTGCATCCACAGAAATGTTAGAAGCTGATGCTTTTGGCCTTAACTTTTTAACACAATGTTCCCATTTAAGGATTTAGTTAACCGTGAGATAAGTTAATCAGCGCACATATGGCTAGTGCGATTTCACCCGTGCTCTTGAGGCAAACCCCCTTTCGTTACACTGAGACCCTGATGTGGAGAAGGTGCAACGTATGGCGGCCTCGCATGACTGACAAACGTGGCTTAAACTGACAGTGTGTTGTTTTGATTTGCCTTCCTGCCTGCAGAATGGGCCGCTTATCAACCTGGAAAGAAGTCTAAAGGCTGATGAACTGATCCGCACAGCGACACAGCTGCGCTCTCTTCCCCTCTTCATCTGTCCAATCTCCCCATTTATGTCCTGAGATCCACAACTTTCTGCAACTCTGGTGAGTACAGTGCCCTTTCTTCGTCTGTGTGCCTATTAGAATCCCTTATAGTCTTGCTGAACTGGTTCTTGCAGGTTCCTCTTAGGCCCATTTGTGAGCAGGAAACGTCATTTTGGGAAATGGGATGACCTTTTACGTTGGCAATCTATTGATGAATCAGCATCCGTTCGGCTGGGAGCTTTTGCTCATGTCGAAGCACGTGGGTTTATTTCTGTGCTGAATTCAGAGTGCAGAAGCTCTGAGCATGGCGTACGAATTGATTTTTTTCTCCCATTGAATGTTATGAGCTTGTTTCTGGAGAGAGAGTAATTTGCAGTAGTACGGGAAAAATTTGACTGTGATATATTTAGCCGGTGTGACGTGAGGCTTTCTTGCTGACTGTGCTTGCGGTTCTGGGCCTGGTTGATTTTGACTGAGCGAATGCTGTAGAAATTAGGCTAATCGTAATGAACAACATTAATGGTGGATGTGTGTTTGTTTGCATCTGTCGCCATGGGTAGTTCCAGAGGTTTCCGCACACGATGTTGCGTCATGGTTTTTTCCTTCCCACCGACCTGTCTCAGAAACCTCAGAGGGAACTCTCAGGGGAGTTTTTGTCCTTTGTCATCACAAGTAGTTTTGCCACATTGGCAGCTTTTGCTCAAGGGCGATCAGCAAAGGGACTGCCGAATAGAGCATTAAAAATAACTCGCGTGAACCATCGAGACCTTGTGTCACACGTTGGCTCTTGTTGGTGGCAAAAGAGGATGTTGAAGCTTTGTCACGACACGAGCGAGCTCACACTCGCAGGCTTTGTCTAGATATTGAGAAATGCTTAAAGTTGGATGGTTGTCAAAATTTAACCAGTTCTGACAAATCATATGACCAAATCTCTTCATGTGTAACATATTCATAATAACATGGATATTGTCTGATGTTTTATTGTGATGGAAATTTTTCGGTCCATTTAACAGATATAGCCCAACAGGTTTTACCCCAAAATCTAAGGACAATAATTAATTATTTTGCAAAAGTTGAGTTTTGATAGGATTGTAAGACAACCTCTGCCATAATGTGTCTGGATGTAATTCTCATTGGGTTTTCTTTACTGTAAAGGCCCTTGCACACAAAGCCCGAAATTCGCGTCTGAAAGTTCGCACATTGAAAATAAATAGGACTTCACGTTATGCCAATCATGCTTGCACACTGCCTCCAAAACTTTCGTCCGCCATTAAAAAAATCGTATCGGGTTCAATTTTCTGTGTTTTTTTTTTTTTTTCCCATTTTCTGCGTATCAAGCCGTTTGAATGGTGTTTTGACAATTCTGAACCACCGAACCACGAATTTGAAAAATGCATTCAGAAATGTCAGACTCAGTTTGCAAGGGCTTTTAATACAGTACTTCTCATTTTTTTTCACTCATTACTGCAATGTGACACTGATTACCTTTATTTTCAATGGTGATTTTCAATAGATTCATATTGTTGCATTTTATTTGTCCATATTATATTTAAAAACAAAAACAAAAAAACAACACAGAACATTTTATACACTACTGTTCAAATGTTTGAGGTTAGATACAGTGTATATATATATATATATATATATATATATATATTATATATATATAATCATTTTAAATATTTGCTTTATCTTTTAATTTAAGTTCTTAAATTTAATCAACAAATTAAATTAGAATAATAAGACAATATAGTGCTTTTACCAAATTAAATAATCTACACAGAAAATTTTAAACTGCATTAAATAGTGTTATGAGGTTGTATTGAATATTTTTGGAATATACAAATAAGACATCTTGGAAAGAATGACACTTTTAAACACAAAACTAAACCACCAGTAGGTGGCGGCAGGTGACCATCTTCAGTCATTGAGTCATTTATTCAAACGATTTTCTCAAATGATTGATTCGTTCAGGAATGAGGCAGTTGTTTATGATTGAGTCATTGAATCTTTGACTCATCCGATTCATTCAAAATGCTGAATCATTCAGTAATAAAGACACGGTTAAAGGGATACTTGAGGATTTAGTATTAGGATTTGAATTAGTAAAAAGCCTGTAGTATTTTCGAATTACCATGCTTTCCACCCTCATATCCCCCTGACATGAGAGATTTTGCCTTTTTGTCTGGAAAAAATCCTCTGACACAAAAATCATCATTTTGCGTCATCAAAGGATTTTTTTGGCCTGAGGCTAAATACAACCTTCAGTAGTAGGGTCTGTCCCGCATGTTCTCCACCCGCCCATAGAGGGTGGGATCTCACTCACAGAATGATAGACCCCGTTTACACCTGGTATTAAAATGCGATCTGTATCCAGATAAGTTATCCGGATAATAAAAAACGCATGTTAATGCAAGGTGTAAACGCGTTGTGATCGGATCGCGATCGGATCTGGCTGACCACATCTGGAGGTAGTCTGGCTCGCATTGTGTCCGGATCTTTACTAGGTGTAAACGCAATCTGGTTGTTGAAACCACATATGTATATTTTACTCCTCCCAAAAATGCTAAAAATAAACGAGTGAGAGCGTGTTATATAGGCTATATGTCATGTTATAGCCTAGTCAGATGCGACACGCGACACGCATCACCGCAGATGAGCAGCTGAGCGTCTATTCAACGTGCAAACATCGCAAATAAAAGTGAAAGTAAGTCACAGACGCAGTTAACACATCTTCAAGTAAAGAAACGAAATTATCTTACCAGGCCTGTTGCCACTCTCTCTTATTGATGTCTCTGATTTGGAAATTAGCTGATGATCAATAAAATGCCGCTCAGATCTGTTGCTTTTGGTGGCGTGCAATCCAATAAATCTGCATATAACGCAGGAGGTGAAGATCGGATTTATATCCGTTTTGCAAAAACACATTTATGTGGCCAGGTGTAAATGGAATCAGTACTTATTATCCGGATAACTTATCTGGATACAGATCGCATTTTAATACCAGGTGTAAACGGGGTCATAGTGTCAGCCATCTTTTTTTGGAAGCTTAGCTAACAGGCTCTTGTTATGTGGAGAAAGCTGAGTAGTAGGGGCGACCATCCTCTTTTTCCCGGACATGTCCGGGATTCGGCTTTTGCTTTGCAGTCACCATTCATTGTTTTTAATGCACACCTTTTGTTACAATCTAACTGAATTAATTGCGATTGGTGAATCTGAATGTCGTGTTTAAACATGAACACTAAACAAGTGATCGGTTGATGTGCGTTTTAACATTGATAAGAAAATTCCCATTCCTCCATGAGAGATACGAGACCGGTGCGTCTCACAGGTGTCGCTCATTGGTAATCACGCCTCGGGCCTTGCGCTGTTCTCCCGCGGCCCTCACTCGTCCTGCTCACCACAGTAAACATAATGAATGGCGACTGTAGAATGCAAAAGCTGAATCCCGGGCATTCTGGGCAATCCCGGGACTCACTAGTAGACTAGACTTGTTGTTTAAAGCAGCACTATGCAGGATTTCGTTTTTTGTCAAACTGTGACCACTAGAGTTGCTGTGGAGTAAATTGCACTCACGCAGAGATGTCTCTGCACTCACGGCCTGATCCCCTCCCCCTGTATATGGGTACATGTTCAGTAGGATGGAAGCTGTAACAAGTGGAAATAAGGTGTGGCCCCTTTAAAGAATTAGTTCACTTTTGAAAAAAAACTTTTGCTGATAATTTACTCACCCCCATGTCATCCAAGATGTCCATGTCTTTCTTTCCTCAGTCGAAAAGAAATTAAGGTTTTTGATGAAAAAAATGATGGTTTTTGAATGATGGTTTTTGAATTTTTCTCCATATAACGGACTTACATGGGAACCAGACGGTCCGAGGTCCAAACGAAAGTTCATAACAGTTTCAGATGCAGCTTCAAATGTCTTTAAACGACACCAGACGATGAATAAGGGTCTTATCATGCGAAACGATTGGTTATTTCAAAGCTTATTCAAAAAATTTTACTTTTCTAAGGACAAATGCTAGCCTTGCTCTATTCTGTGAGGCGCGTTTGTAACGTCACGTAATACATAATTATGTTCAAAAGGTCACGGGCGACGTAGCCAGAAGTACAGAGTCAGAGTGTTTACAAGTTGAACGCATAGGTTGAACGTGAAAACTAACTCAAACACCGTTTACAAAAAAGGAATTAAAAGGTAAAACAATGATGTCAGACGATTTTGATTCTGTGCTTCCGGCTATGTCGCCCGTGACCTTTTGAACGTAATTACGTATTACGTGACGTTGCAAACGCGCCTCACAGAATAGAGCAAGGCTAGCATTTATCCTTAGAAAAGTTACATTTTTGGAATAAGTTTTAAAATAACCGATCGTTTCGCATGATAAGACCCTTATTCATCGTCTGGTGTCGTTTAAAGACATTTGAAGCTGCATCTGAAACTGTTATTAACTGTCGTTTGGACCGTGGACCGTCTGGTTCCCATGTAAGTCCATTATATGGAGAAAAATCCTGGAATGTTTTCATCAAAAACCTTCATTTTTTTTCGACTGAGGAAAGAAAGACATGGACATCTTGGATGACATGGGGGTGAGTAAATTATAAGCAAAAGTTTTTTTCAAAAGTGAACTAATCCTTTAAGAGCTGCGCCCTGTTGAACTGTTGGCAGTCTGTATTGTATGCGCCTCGAACACCACATGTATACGGCGCCGGATTATTTATTATTTATTTGATGCTCATTTTAACAGATCTTTCTTGCCATAAAGCAAATCATTAAATCGCGAGACCTGATATCACGCGACACTTCCTGATGCTGCGGCTGGCGGCCCGCCGGCTCAAAGTTGCAAGTGTGTTTTTTTTCTGCTCACAGGCAACAGGGGAGGGCGAGACACATAGGCGGCGCTAGGGAGGGGCTAGCAGGTGCTTCAGCACCCCCAAGAAAGACCAAAGCACCCCAATAGCACCCCAACCCCAAAAATAATATCTGGAAGCAATTATATTTTGGCTGCAACAGAAAACAGTTTACTAATAACAATCAATGTTTTCGTATATTCTAATTAATA